ATATATTAATTATAGCGAGTATCTCTTTATAGTCTATTTGTAAGAATGGTTTTTTATAATTAATTTGTTTATATGGTCGCGAAGTATTTTATTAGAGATATGCAAATGTTGTATTTGTTATATAATTTTATACTTGCCTAGCACGGGTTATAATAGTGTACTTTTCCTTTTTCTTCTGTTCTATTTGTACTGCTTCTTGATAGAGGTAGTTCCCCTCTTTGTCAGCCTTCAGGCTTTTCTCTTCGATTTTCTTTTTTTATATTTCATTGTACCCCTTTTATGTTTTCTTTAAAAATTCCCACTTCGTTCTATCTGTTTTTTTTTTAGTTAGTTTTTCTTTTTGTTTTCTTGATACTATTGGTGGTTTTGTACTAGATATAAAATCATTACCGTATGTTACCGAATAGAAGCTACCCCCGAATAAAAGCTACCCCTCAATTTTGGATCCAAAAATTTGAAGAAGGTTATTATGTTTTAATAGTAAAATTAGACCCGAATAGAATACCCCCACGATTTAACCCGAGAAAATCGAAAATTTTTTGGTAGCTTCTATTCGGTAACATACGGTATATATTTTTTTGATTATTTATTACTAATAATGTAAAATTTTGAGTTGTTATATTTAATTACAGAATTATATAATTTCAAATGTATCTGATGCTTTGAGACGACTTATGATTTTTGTGTAACTAATAGCACAAATTCCTACAAACAATTTGTCTACGATGTTACTTTTACCACATGATACAAGAAACTTTCGAGCTAACGCTAAAATAGATTAATGACGTAACAGCTAAAAAAATACAGGCGTCTGCCAAGAGTTAGATGCATAGGTAATGCAAAACGAAAAATCAACCGTGTGGTCCCAATATATAGACGTATTATCAAGAAAGTTAGATTTATAACGATAAAAGCTAAAAAAAAAAAAAAAGCCAGACGTTTGCCAAGAATAGATGCATAGGTAATGCAAAACGAAAAATCAACTTGGAGTGGTTCAAATATATAGACATATTTTTATAAATTTTTTTAAGAAAGTTATAAAATCTAGTCAGCTTATAAGTGTTAATTAAATCTTGTAAGCATTAACGATAAAGCACTAAATCTTATAAGCGTTAAAATTAATATTAAAATGGGTCAAATTTCGGCATAAGTTGATTTTAGCATAAGCTGCTGCTGCTTTTTTTTTTTTTTTTGGAGATTTTCTTTTATAAAAACATAATGTATTAATATATAACAAAATGGAGATTGCAATAAGCGATATAACAAATTAGTGGATTGGCAATTTAAGGCATCGCGAAAGCGCCTAAGCTTTCGAACCTGATATATTAGTGAAACACATTGGGTCTAGGTGAAGTATCTGAACGATACTTCAGTCTAAGTGAATAGCCAAGAGAGTAGAGAAAGTCAACAAGTTCCCAGCAAACAATAAACCTCCACGAAACTATATTCATCAGTTAATGTTACCTTTAACCGCTAATATTTGAATTATTATATGTCAGGGTGAAACCCTCACTGAATTCTAGTAAAACCTGCTTTGATCATAAGGTCGGGGTGAAATCCGCGTTAGCATAGCGTTCTTATATGTTAACGCGGGTTTCGCTTAGCATAGCGGATTTAGTACCTGATCTTAATTACGTATATATATATGAATTTTATTGAATCTATTATGCCAAAATCACAAACTTAATCGAATCGGCTGAAAAATCATTCGGCCAATTTTTAGCAGGTGTTCCAGGAATTATGAAAATAGCTGTAATTATTTTATTATACGGATCATGCCGAATCAATAACTTAACCGGATTGGCCGAAAAATCATTCGGCAGGTGTCCCAGAAATTATGATAATAGCTGTAAGGTTACAGCTGTTTTCATAAATTCTGAAACAACTGAAAACATTGCCGATGACCGAATCGATAAGTTACCGAATCGGAATCAATAAGTAACTGGCTCAGCTGAATTCAGAAACTTATCGATTCAGAATTTATGAAAACAGCTGTAATATCTCTACTACCTTCGAAACTCTTGGAGCTTTGCTCAAATTTTTGTCTCAACCTTGCTCGCCTTTTAAGTTTATTCATTCGAAATTTTTCAGTTACTTTATTCTCTCCTTACGTCATTTCCATACTATTCTCAACTGGTTGTACTGGGTCAACCGATTAACTGAAATTTATTCGGTTCGGGTTAATTAACCGATTATAGCCAACCGATTAAAGTCACTAGGTGCAAGATAATGACAACAGGGACAACGGGGGTAAAATCACCACCCAAAAAAATTTCGAAAACACGTGATACAAAATCGGGAGTTTTAATTGAATGCGTAACTCAAAGACGAACGATTTGTAAAAAAAAAAAGCTTACATACATGGAAAACGTCCCAACATCTTAAAATAATACATTGTATCAAATATTTTTATTATCAGCTACTATATCCGATATTTTACACTTGTGTACCAAAGTTAAATTTTTTTTTAAAAAAAACTTATTCTCATAAAATATAATGCATATAAAAATTAGAACAGCAATAATATATCATTATTTATTTAGCTAAAATAAAACATGACTCAATATTACAACCAGAAAGTATTATTGTTGCGATTTTTCCAAGTATTTGGAATGTGCGTTTGTCTCTCAAATCGTTTACAATCTTCCACTAATTTCCGTAATGGTTCAAAGTTTTTTTCTATGCTATCGAGCCATTTGTTTGGATTTTCCACATTTTTTTCAAGGATATTTTTAGTTTCGTCCAACAAATTGAAAATTTCTTTTTTTCGAGTTTGAAACAAGATTAGATCTTGATCATCATTGACAACATCCATTGAGTATTCATTAACAACATCCATTAAATATTCATTTGAACTAATTGTAACAGATTCTTGTTCATGAACTTGATTATTGACTTGTGAACCGGAGGAAATTAATTCGTAAGTATAGGAATTTAAATTTTTAATTGATGCACGAATATCTTCAGGCAAATCAGCAAAAGCATTTTCTTCTTTGATTTCTAATAAGGGATAATGCTCTTGACGTATTACCTTAAAATAAAAAAGATCAGTGTAGCACTATAATTTAAATAAAGCAAGTAGTTATTTTTTACAATACCTTTTTAAAAAATCCTGGCTCAACGGGACCATAAATTTGTATCAAATGTTTGCATATGTGAAAGCGACTTAAAAGAAAACTATAACATGAGCAGATCCACCGTGAAGAATCAGTAATATGAGTAGAATTAGGATTGACTGTTTTAGTTGCCAATTTTTTCCATTCAAGTCGAAAATTTTCTCGCTATTTTGTTATACACCGATTATCATGTAGTAACTGTAACCGATCAATTTGACGTGGTATAACTTTCATAACAATGATATAAATAATTAAATCAAGTCGTGCATGATTAAATCTTGAAAAAAAATCATGTTTTAAAACTCGCCAATGGCTTTCAATTGCCATTGTACTTCGTAAAATATTAAGTTTTGGATTCGATGCTTGTGCCCATAGTTTTCACATTTTGGGATGGTACCATTCCGTCCACAAATAGAACCAACCATGTTTCAGATCATTTTTGTAACAATAATTATATTGTTCCTTGACACTTTTACTCCAAACTTGGTTCATATTTAAAAAATTTGGTGAATGCTCTATTGGTATCATAGGATGCCGTGAAAAATGAATACGAACCATTTGAAGAATTGTTTCACGAAAATTTTTTTGGCAAAAAACTTTTTTTCATTATTGTTATTATGATGTTCTTGATTTGTAAGATCTGTGAATGCTTTATTTAGATTAACTGGTTGCCATGCAGGATTAATTGTTGAACAAAGCAGATGTGCCTCATGTGCATTATAATGATTATGTATGATACCGGTACTTGAAAGTTTCTTTTTGATTGCACGTATTACGTGCCAATAACATAATTGGATTTTTGCCCCAGTCCAAATTTTGTTAGCAGCCGTAATTTGTCCACGATCCTTGTCCATCAAAATAGTTTCAGTATTTTGAATCTCATTTTTTTTTAAAGCTTTAAACCATGCTGTAATTGCTTGTGTTTTACCATCTGGATGCTTCGGTTCAAGAAAAAAATATGAGAGTGGAAATCCAGCACCATCGATAACTCCAAGAACTGCAAATAATTCAAACTTTAAACGATTTGTCCCATAAGTAGAATCGACAATAATAGTTTTTGTAGCTTTATTCGGCAATACAAATAATAATGGAGTTAAAAAAGCTAATGAATGTTGATCTTGGCATATAAGTTTAAAATTTGTATTATTTTTTAAATATTGTCGTGCAGATTCCAATTGATCATCCGCTAATTTATATTCCTTTGTAGCAAATTTTTTAAACCAATAGTAAACTTGTTGTCGGGTAATATATAAAAATTCATCGATTTTTTTTTCTTTAATGTTATTATAAAGCTGTGGGACTGTCAGCAAGTTATTATTAATAATATAATCATGGATTTGTGAAGAAACTTCCATTGCTTCAGGTGGTGGGTGAAGATAATGGTAGATATTAACTACTGCCCAGTTATAAATTTGTTCTATATTAATTTGAATTGTACCACTACAAGCATATTGAACAATTCTTGGCATTGTATCATGCCGATTTGAAACATTAGCAACTCGTGCCTTTTTATTTTTTAATTCCTCACGACAGTTGCAATAATAAACGAATGAAATTGAATCTTTTAATATATTACGTTTATGGTAAATCCAGGAAAATCCATCTGCTTTTGAAATAAGGTTAATTATATGTTGCGCAACCTCCTTATCATTGTTTACTTGATCTTCCGAATTTGCATCAACATTGTTTAATAATGGCTCTAAGATTATAAAAAACCTTTTCTCAAATAGATATTCGTCAGAATCATAATTTACTGGAATGGAATTAAAAATGAAATCCACAAGGTTCTCTGGTGCTATCGCGTTTTCTTGATTTGCAATTATGGATTTATTTTTTTGTTCGCTCTTTCTTAATTTATTATTTGCAGAAATTTGGTTATGACACTCTATACATGTTTTTAGCTTAGTACGTGTATCAACATTTTTGCATTTATTAGTTTTTAGACTTTCAAAAGTTTCGTTTGGTTTGTCAAGATTACAACGATCACACTTCATTATTTTGAAAAAAAGAGAAAAGAGATTTACGTGATACCAATCAAAATAAATATATATACTAAATGCAAGCTCAGCAGACATTTAATATCTGTTATAATTAGAAATGACAAATATTAAATGCCCGCTAAGCTTGTATGTAATAATGATACGAACGATTACGATGCAGCGATCTACATCATGTGACCTTCAAAATTTTTTTGGGTGGTGATTCTACCCTCGTAACAGGGACATGTAAAAATTCTTTCGATTTGAAGCAAAAATTCGATTGATTTATACAAAAATTTCAATAAATTTCGATTGATTTATGGAAATTTTTTTTTAATGTTGTTCTCATCTAATAATAATTATCATGTGATCTTCGGTCTTTTTTTTTGGCCAATAATATTATTTTTGTGATTTTTTATAATTTTGCCAAAAATTTCGATAAATTATGATTAAATTTCGAGAAATTTTGATCAAATTTGGCCAAATTTCAATTTCTTTCAAAAAATTTCTTTCGAAAAATTTACATGTCCTTGAATGACAACTTATATTCGGACTGCGATAAAGATATTTTTTTGTTATATTGATATTGGTTTGTATAGTCAAGCTATTTAATTAATTAATTAATAGACAATTTGATTTGATCAATTTGATATTACTCCTCTATTCTCTCATTTATGTACCAAATTACTAGACAATAATTATAATTTATTCATATATTAGCAAATTTATAATTACCATTGATTTTGCCAATTCTAGATGACTTTATACTAAAGAGGGAGGGATCCGTGAATATCCACGGTTAAAAACAAATATTCAATTAAAAACAAATATTCATTACACAAAATTCATGGATAGTATGAATATTCGATGCATATTTGCATAAATCCAGAAATCATGTGATTTGCTAGTCGCCAAATTAGCCAATAATATAATTACATGATTGTTTTGATCCTAAAGTCACGTAGATGTTGTTTTGAAGATCAGTAATTTGCTGTATGTATAAATACTATTGCTAGTTGATTTTTTTTTTTCTTGTCCTGATTTGCTATCTTCTTTCGCAGGCATTGTATCTCGACCTTTTTGTATCTCCCCGTCCGA